TACTTGTTGCCAAACAAACCATGAATAACGAAGAAACATAGTACATTCCTGCAATTCCTGGAGTATGGTAAAAACGGATGGCAAAAAGTCGAAGAAAATGAATAAACATTATGGCGTAAGCAAACTTATGGAACGTTTTTACTGAATGAAGGGTTTTAAAAAGTTGGAAACTCACCAATTAGAGGAACAGCTTCTGATGTTGGCGGAATTGATTCCATGATTGACTGCAACATATAAAATAATAAAACATCGGGGCAGCTATCTTACACTTTTGAGCAACACAATGTTTGTAGAAATGTTGTTTTTAGAAGAAAACCTCGGCTCTACTTTGGGAGAATACTAATTTACATTTCCATTAAAAAAATTGAATTTGAAAAAATCAGCAGTATTGTCTAAGCAGTTCCGTCTCAGTGTTTACTGAAATTTGAAAATTTCCTAAATTTTTGAGCCAATTACCTGTAAATAAACACCCATGCTAAGAATTGTCGTAATGCACATGTTAATCTTTTCACCAGTTTGTGGTGGCATAAAAAAACCAAGAACTGCCATCGATGAAATTAATACACACGGCAAAATCTGAAATTTCTTCATATATTTTTGTGAAAATTTAAGGAAGCCTTTATTTAGCAGTTGAATTTCAGATAAAACCCAAAAATGTCCATGTTATATTGGACCATCTGTAATCCACAGTTTTGTTCTCCACCTGTGCAACTGGCAATTTTTACATTTTCTCTGACCAATGCTCTAACTATTTTGTTTTTAGTCAGCTTAATCGAGAACTTGTCATGCGCTTCGTCCTCCGAAGGGGGCACTAGATGAATGGTTGCGTTCTATTCACAGAAGCACTTGGCATAGCTTTAGCCGTTTCAAGGCGCCCCTGATGTGGCCTCTAAATTACACAGATGGCGTTACATCTCAAGCAATGTTATTCTTTGGTCATGATATCATTGTCTTATCGACAAGGAGGAAAATTTTCACAGATAATCAAAAATCTAATTTTTTTTTTTGAATTTTTATGATAAAGCTCGAAATAAGACACATGGTTGAAGACGTAAAACAACGGCCGTCGATGCATCCGAATACGAATGACGATCACTGGCCACTGTTGTGACGGATCTGTCGGAAAGATGATTATCTGAAATGGAGGGTTAAAATTTATCTGAATGTACGGATGCCTTCTATTGTTATTAATGTGAAATTAGCAAGAAAAAAATAAATGATATAATCAAAAGTCAAAGCTCTTCCGTATCTGTTCCACAATACTCTCGAAGAGTGCTGTCGTAATTACTCACGGTCAAAGACCGTAGGCGGCTCTCTCCTTCGAAGACTGCTTACAGACAGACTGATAGTCGGTGTGGCTCCTTGTAGATGTCAGTAACAAACTGCGATCGAAACGAATGAAGAAATCACACAAGGATTGGTTGCTGCTTTTCGTTTGCTTTTAGTGTTTTCTTTATTTTTGGCATTTTCTACAAAAAAGGCTTCATTTACCTCTTTACGAGCCGTCATATCAAGCAAA